GAATGGAGGGAAGGAGAAAAGGTGGGGACCTCGGCAGCAGTACACTGCCAGGTTGTGGCACCTGGCAGAGGCTGAAGGTAGCATGGAGTTTCCAGCCCTGGTGCAGGAGATCACGCCAGAAGCAGGGAGCCCAGGCATGATGGGGGTGGGGAGGTTGTTGAGGAGTTCAGTTTGGGACACACTGAGTTTGAGGTTGGTGCAAAAATAAGATTTATTTTAGTCTCTTTTTCCTTGCCCTGAAATAGTGCCGGCAAACACTGAGGTTCGATCCTGAAGTCACACGGGCTGCAGCAGCATCAGGACCCTGGACAGACCAGTTTGCCCACAGCCACTGTTTAGAGAAGGGACACGAATCAGAATGCTCTGGGGGCAGAAGAGCTCTCTGGTGATGCCAACGGAGGGCTGTTCTCTCTACTGTGAGGGGACAGGTATTTCTCCAAGTCTGTCCCACTTCAGGGACATCAGGCCCAGGAAGCGTCCTGATCCCTGGGCTGCCTGCTGCCTGGCACCATGAACGGTGGCTGGCAGATAAGCTTGCCCTGGGCTTATGTGCATGCCCTTCCTCCTCTGCTCCCACGAATCCACGATCTCCCCTCAAATGCCCCCATTGGGCCAACTGGTGCCAGTGCTGTTGGTTCACTTATGGTCCAGGGTTGGACCAGACACCACCGAACTGTCTCTGCTTCTCCAGAGCAAGCCAGGTGGGTTCATCCATCCTGAGCCATTTCTGACTTTGCCAAAGTTCCCTGACCACTTAACTTCATCCCTCACTTTCTCCATCTGTAAAACGAGATAATGAACAGGTTTGGGGGCAAATGCCGAGCACACACACACACTTGATCTCGTGCCAGGGTCGCCTGGCTCCCCTCCAAAGGCCCCTCGGGAGGCGGAACGGTCCCAGGGCTAGGGGCTCAGAGGAGCCCGCCTGCGGGCGAGGGGGTTCAGGCTAGGTTCTGGCGGGCGCTGTAGGGGAGCTAGGTGTGCGGGAGCGCCAGGCGCCAGGGTTGGTGGGACTCACCGCCGCCAGGGGTCGCCGCACTAACATCCCAGGCCGCTGGTGGAGCCGATCCGGTCCAGCTTGAGGCCGAAGCAGCCCTTGTTCGAGCCCTTCTTGATGCCTTTGTTTTTGCGCGCGTTGGGGTTCTCTTGCAGATGGCGGGCCCACGCCGCCCGAGCCTTAGTTTCTACTCGTAGGTCCCGGAAGAGTCGCGACTGGTCGCCCTTGGGGTTGGCGCCGCCACCCCCGGGCGTCTTGTCGCGCTTCTTCTGACCGCCGCCCTCAGCCTGGGACACGGCCAGCTCCTCCCCCTGCGGAGTTCGCTGGACCTGTCGGGGGAAAAGAGCAGGCAGGTGAAGGGACGCACGGCGGCAGCGTGGGGAACTTTGCGGAGCCCCTGACGCTCCAGCCCGACGCGCTCGCCAGCGCCGTTGGTCGTTTCGGAGCCGTGAGCGCGCCCCTACAGATGCGGGGCAGTTCGGCCCTGCATCCACCTGCCACGCGAGTGTCCCTTGCCCTCCCTGCCTCTGCCTCTTGCCCGGCTGGCCACGGTGGGGCAAGGGCTGCGCATCTGTCGACATTCTCTCGAGGCTGGGGACGTAGACCCCCGAACCCGGGCTCCGAGGGCTCCCCGGCTCTCACCCGCGCACAGCTCAGAAGAGAGGGCCGCCTTCCCGCCTTCTCTGCCCGCTCTTGCGGGCTGCATCCTCCTAGAGCCCCAGCGCTCCCACGCACTCCCTCACAGTCCCGACATCTCCGCGACAGCACCCACCTTCGGCGCCGCCCCGGGCTTGGCCTCGGAGGGCCGGAGCGAGAGTAGCATGAGCAGCAGGACGCAGGCCAGCAGCTGGGAGAGGTGCATGGTGCCCGTGGGGTGGAGGGACGCGCACTGGCGGCAGCGCGTGCAGGCGGGTAGGAGGGCGCGGAGCAGGCTGGCTCGGCTGCGATGCGCGATGCGGACGCGGGTCCCAGAGCTGCGCAGCGCCGGCTGGGTGCGCTCTGAATCCGCGGCTCCGCTCGCGCCTTTATAGTCCAACCTGCGGCTGATGTCATCCTCCCGCCCACCCGGCCGCCCGGGCCAATGGCACGCGCGCCGATAGCCAGGAGCGGGCCGCGGGGGCTCCCCCTCTGTCCCCGCTCCCATCTCACCCTCCCCCGAGGGATCCCGCGGCTCGGGCGGGCTCTCTCCCGGCTGCACTCAGAGCTGCAAAGCGGCGCGCACGGGGGAAATCTATTTGCATCGAGCGCGCGCCCTGGCATGCGGAGCGTCAACGTTCCGGGTGCCCTGCGCACACTCTGGGACCTCAACACACACCCTCTCCCTGGAAGGACTCAGTTTCCCTCTCTGCAGGTGCAAAGACAGGCTCAGAGGAATTAAGTCACTTGCCCAAAGTCACACAGCTAGAAAGTTGACGCAGCCCGAAATCCACTCAGATCTGCCTTGTTGCTAAACTCTGACCCGGTCACCCTGGCCTGGCCTGGCTCTGAGGCTCCACCTTCCACCTGCTCGCCGGGAGCTGGGATCGCATGGGCGCCTTTGGGATGGGGAGGCAGAGAATGGGATTCGATGTCTGGGCGCAGAGAGCGCGGGGTTCGCCGGAGGCCGCAGGGGGGAGCGCAAGTCCACCAGAGAGTGCAAGCTCTTTGCCTTCGAGCATGTCTGAGAGCGTAGAGCCAACCAGGCGGGCAACCAGCGCAGGCCTGAGGCGCCGATGTCCATGCATGCGTGTGGTAGCATCGTGTGCCCGCCACGGTGGTTCTAAGTGCGCGCTCAGCCGGGTCGGCCATATAGGACATCCGCGTGTCCCATCCGGCACTGGCTTCTGTCTGCACCCACTGTGCGCACTTGACCTTGTCTGCACCCACGCGAGGATCCGCAGGGTGGCTGTGTCCGCTCCAATGTCCTGTGCACCTGCACAGACTGGAGAAGGAGCTTTACCCAGCCTGAGGCGGTCTGGCTTCGGTTGGCAGGAACAGGTGGTCGCCTTCGTTTTCTCCAGAGAGGTCTCGGTCGTAGCTGTTGGACATGGCCACAGTATCCCTGCCTCTCAGGACACCCTCTCCTTGGGTAGGGCGTCTCGATCCCTCGAGCTCTGAGGAGTTCCTTAGGGATGGGCCGAGAAGGCAGAGAACCGGGGAAGAGGGAGGGGTTTCCAGGTGGGCGATGAAAGGCCCCCTCCTCTGCATACTGGACAAAGAAGAATGTAACCAATCTGGAACTTCTTTATTTACACCAGCTTAAGGGGCCGGGCCGACTGACTCTAGAACCAGGCACTGGACGTGTTTCCAGCGGGCAACAGCCAGGGCGCAGTGGTTCAGGCACTAAAACGACCCCATCGGTTGCGGGCGCCAGAATGAGCGTTTTTCAGGGAGAGGAAGCTGCGCCTGAGGCGGGAGGGCGGCTGGGATCAAGAGGGGCCGAGACAATCCAGTGCTACCACGCGATGGCTCCACAGCGCAGCCCGGGGCCCAGAGCAGGGAGGCACCGGCACTACCGCTCCCTGTCCGCTCTTTATTCCCTACCCTGGCACGCTGGGTCCTTTTGTTTGGGAAATAACGTATACCCGAGGCCTGAGTTTAGGTAGAAGAATCTCCTGTTTTTGAGGAGGATCCAGACATGGACAGAGGGCATCCTTTGTGAGTTCCGGTGAGTTGATTCACCATCTCCACGCAGTCCCCCCGGATTGCCTCGCTGAGGGAACGTCCATAGAGTGGAACCACTCTTTCATTAGAGGAAAAAGAAAGAGGAGCAAGAAGGGTTAAGAGGGGAGGATCTCCAGGTGGGTAGTGAAAGTTCCCTCTCCTCTTTTGTCTACTAGACCTAAAGGAATGTAACCAATCTGGCACTTCTCTGAGACTCGCTTTACACCGGGCTGCAGGAGCCAGGCAGACGGACTTTAGAGCCAGGCACTGGGCTGGTTTCTGAGGTCAACAGCTTCTGCAACCCCTTATTAAGGTGACCAGGGATCTACCATCACCTCCTTCTGTTTGAATGTTTGTAGGCTGGTTCTTCCTGTCTTCTGCGTTTCTTGGATATACTTGGTGACAGCCAGGTAACTATTTAGTCTCTCTCTCTTTGAGCTTCGAGACTAAATTAGAGTGAACTGTGGAGCCAGGCTCCCCCGGAGCAGGCTGTGCAGCAGCTCTGGCTGAGCTGGGGCCTGGGAGGAGATGTGGGTACACGTGCCAGCACTGGCCTGGAGGCATGCTCAGGGAGGAAGTGGTCAGCACGTGGCTGTCTGCACAGGTTTCACCTGCCCCTTGGTTTTCTTGCATGAGAAGCGGCAGAGGAGGCTTTTGGTTCCTCCTGGGTCTGGACCGGGCCCTCAGGTCTCTTCTTCCTGCGGAAACCTCATGAAATCCACTTCTGCTCTGGCCCCAGGAGCCAGGCCTGGGAAAGCTGGACCCACTGAGCAGCCGAACACGAGTGGCTTGTGGCACTTCTTTGAATAATTAGTGTGAAACTATGGCAAAAGGGACAGAAAAAGACACTAGGCTCAGGATCCTGGCGATTCTGTAGGGAATCCTGTCATTTGTTACTTTTCCACCCACTGATTCCCTAAGGATCCATTGAGTATCCACGGATACTAACAAAGTTCCATTCTGGCTGGGAAGAACCCCCCAGGGAAGCAGATACTAACTCTAGGCTGAAAAGGATGGTGGCAGGTTGGCAAGCAGAGTGGGCTTCCTGGAGAAGGAAAAGCCTGGGCTGACCCCGCAGGAGGAGAGAAGGGAAATCTAGATGGAAAACAGAATGACTCCCTTGGGCCAACAGGGAATGCACTCAGGCTCAGAGGGGTGCAGTAAGAGTAAAACCATCAAATGAGAGCTTGCCCTCCCTCTGGAACAGCGCCCCCTCTTGGCCCTGGGGCCAAACAGGAGGATTCTCAGGCACACAGAAGAGGGAAGGATTGCTCAGCCGCCCATCTGTTTTCTCTGCAATTATTTCATCCCAGGGGCCCCCTCCCAGCTGCATAACTTCCCAGAGAGGACACTGAACAGGCGGTGAACAGATCTCATGGAGGCCGGGCAGGGAAATTGCAGCGGGACCCTGGCCAAGTCCCATCACTGCACAGGGCCTTCGGTTTCACCACCTATAATTGGGAAAAAGCTGTCTTTACCTCCTGGATGGGAGCAGAGTGAATCAGGGGGCCAGATGAGAGGCTTCTGACCCCTGGGTGAAGGCAGGATGAAGCAGCTGTGGCAGAAGAGGTATCTGAACGTTACTGTACAAATGCACGCACTCCCAGATGGGGAGAACAGGGACCCTGGACCTCTGAGACTTCCTGAGACTGTTTGGTGGTGGGGACTCATGGAGGACACAGAGACCATGGCCTGGCTAGGTCTCCTGGAGCTTGGTACCTCCTCCAGGAGTCCTGTGCCTACGGGGCCTGACCTTAGTTGAGGAGCTGGAGGCCAAGGAGGCATCATCCACCCTTCCTGGGCCTGAAATTCCAGGAAAGCTTAACCTCATCATGCCATGAGGTCTTTGCCTGACCCCAGGACACCCCCACCTGACGAGCCAGCTGCTCTCCTTGTCCTTTCCCAGGGGCCCTGCCAGCACCTGCTCCAGATGGCCTCCAACCCTGCTGTCCTACGCAGGCCCATGACGTCAGAGTTTATCCCTCTTTTTTTTTTCTTTTCAAATAAAAGACAGATAGCTTTACCAGACAGGCTCAGTTTCCTTGGGGGGAACAACTGCTCCCCACATGGCTATCGACAGGCAGGTGAGGCAGGAGAGGCTGAGGCCTGAACCCTGAGAAAGTGAGCAGGGTGGTGAGTGAGAGACCACCCCCCCACTCCCCTCCGCAGTATCCTGACCTCAGAGTGGAGTGTGCACCAGATGTTTGCAGAAGGAAGGGCCTTGCTGCCAGGCCCTGTGCCTCGGCGGGGCTTTGGAGCTCTTCCAAGCAGGGAGCCGCTCCCTGCTGCTCCGGGGGTCCCTGCAGTGAACCCATCTTCTTGGCGTGTACCTGGAGGAGGGTGTCTATTGTCTAGTCTTGGAGACCATGTTTCAGATTGGGTGGAGATCACAGTCTTCAAGGACGGGGGCTTCTCCCTGTGGATAGAAGAGGCCCCAATTGTTTTACGGGAGCCTCTTAACTTGGTGCCTTCACAGAAGGGATCAGGGATGGGCTCGCCAGGGTCCAGGGCCACCAGTCAGCTCCAGGAGCCATGTCTCTGGGTTTTCCAGGCTGGAGACTCTATAGATTTCTGCCCCAAGAGTGTGTAATCACCAACTACTTTCTGGTGAGCAGTCAATTTCTAAACTGAGAATGACCAGCAAACACTAGCAAGAGAGACAACGAAACCAGATGTTAATGAAGATTAGCGGGAACATATTTTTTGCAATCTGGGCTCCACAGGGATTGGAAAACACTTTTAAGCCCAAAGCCAAAAAAAAAAAAAAAAAAAAAGGAAAAAGAAAAGAAAAAGCCCCAAACCCATAAATTGTTTGAAAAGCACCCTTGTATCTGTGTAAATCCTTTCTGGACCCAGGATGCAATATCACACAGCAAACTTTTCCTCCCGGATGGCCTGAGAAGAGCTCTGAGTCCCAGCGCAGGCTGGCCAGGAAGCAGGGTGTTACACCTGCAAAGCATGGCCCGTTTTGCCTTGTGGATGAAATAATTTAAGAGAGGAGGCTTCCACTTAGAGTTCAGTAGGGTTCAGAACTTCTGATCAAGCAGACGATTGGGGATCTTGGGCTCCATGGAGGTGATGAGGAGGCGAGGCAATGGTTTCCTGTGAGGAGTGGACACATGTCAGTGGGTTTTTGCTGCCTGGCTTCCCAGCTTGCCGGAGAAGCTGAAATGGCAAATGCTTGCTTGCTGAGCCAGCCTCGCCGACTGTGCATGGGTGTGTGGCCTGGACTCCCCCAGGCAGATGTGCCAGCCCTAGGTTTGAAATTGGGGGCTGTTGTCTC